CTAATGGGATCGAAGGAAAACAGACTTTTCAAATTTCTACGTTTATAACATTTCCTTCGGGTCTCTCCCAAGTCCGAACATTCTGTTTGTAGGTTAATGATAAAATCAGTACAGTATCACCAACGATTCTCTACTACACGATCTTTGGTATCACATCCGACGCAGAAGGATTTCTCGTCTCCTCACTGAAGGAGGTATTTACGTGTTACGTGTCCGATACCTAAGCGAGTAAAAATAACTTCATCTCTTCTGGAGCGGCCTAAAGATTTTCGTGGGTCCAGTTTAGGCATGCTACTGAGTAGTATTATGTTGTTCAATTGTTTACTCCAGTGTTTCTTCTCCCATGACTGGAGGTTCTGCCATAAGTATAACGAGTTGCTATTGAGTCATAAACCCAGTCTAACATAACGAGTTGCATTTGAGTCAAATAGACAACACTAACACAAGGAATCACACGCGAGTCATAAACACAGCTCTACACTTGGAGTCACGCTCAAGACATAATAAAGTCTTTTTTTTTTTTGTTTTTTTTTTTTTGGGGGGGGGGGGGGGTGTTTTACGGCGCTCGCAACTGCTTAAGGTCTTATGAGTGCGTGGGACACATTGCATGAACATTTTCAGTTGGTAAAAAATTTTGAATTTTGCCCGGGTGGCGGCCGAAGCCTACTCTTATCCGTTTTGGACCAAAGGATCTTTAACGTGTGCAACTAACGTGATTATTCGCCTTTATCTGAGATAGCCTGGTGTAGATCTTTCCTACCATAAGAATTGGGGTATTTTGTTTTAGTAAGAGTTTAACGGCACTTGCAACACAATAAGGTCATATAAGTGCCGAAGACTAGAGGTGTTACAAGAGAGTAACAAACACAAAAAGGGAGGGGAGATAATGACGATAGATGTGAAAGGAAAGAAGCTAACCACACCAGAGCACCCGCAAACCACCCACGATCTGGGGTGTGGCTGAAAGAAAGCAGTAAGGAGTCAAAGTCAAAGAGTAGCAGAAGAAAGGCTGCAGAAAGAGTCAGGAGCCCAGAGGAGAAGGCAAAGGAGGTGAGGGGGCAGAAAATAGGAGACGACAGAACATCGTAAGAGAACAGGACAGGATGAGAAAGGACAAAATTCTACAGAAGAACATTTACCTTTTTAGTTTTAGTTTTAGTAAGAGTTTTACGGCACTTGCAACAAAATAAGGTCATATAAGTGCCGAAGATTAGAGTTTAGTTTTAGCAGAGGTTTTACGGCGCTCGCAACTGCATAAGGCCATATGAGCGCCAGAAATTTCGAGGTGTTACAAGAGAGTAACAAACATAAAAAAGAAGAAGGGGAGATAAGGACGATAGATGCTTTTAGTTTAGTTTTAGTAGAGAGTTTTACGGCGCTCGCAACTGCATAAGGTCATATGAGCGCCAAAGGGGCGGGTGTCAACAGAGAAGTCTTTACAGGGAAGACATCTCTCTAGCTTCAACAGCACAAGGTCTGCTTCGACTATCAAGGCACCCTGGAAATAGCAGGTCACAAGAGTTTGAGCATGACAAACATACAAAAGAAGTAGAGGAAAATGACAACAGTAAGGATTAAGAAAGAAAAAGCAGCAGTTCCCTGTTGTAGATCAGGCACAGTTATGAGCGTGACATGATGAATCAGCCCATTTACAATTCTGCTGTGCATGAACGAGAAATGTCCCCCTTTGGGAATGGCCTATAGACACTACAGTCAGTGGCAGTGCCCCCTTGGTGGTGGGGGGTAGATGTTTGATAGGACAGAAGGGGCAAACCACACCAGAGCACCCGCTAACCACCCACACATTAGCGTTTACCACCAGGAGTGGCACATGAATCACGAACACCCCCGGGGCAGTGCCACTGACTGAAATGTCTTTATGCCATTCCCAAAGGGGAGACATTTCTCGTTTTAATGCACAGTAGAATTGTAAATGGGCTGATCCAACAACGTCATGCTCATAACTGTGCCTGAACTACAACAGCGAACTGCTGCTTTTTCTTTTTCTCATCCTTACTATCGTCATTTTCCTCTACTTCTTTTGCATGTGTGTCGCTCTCTTGGGACTCACTACTTCCGGGGTGCCTTGATAGTCGAAGCAGACTTTGTGTTGTTGAAGCTAGAGGTGAGCAGAATAAGTCTGATTCCCTGTAAGGCCTTCTCTGTTGACATCCACCCCTTGGCTCTCATATGACCGTATGCAGTTGCGAGTGCTGTAAAACCTCTACTAAAAAAAGAAAAAGAATCATGAACACTGCACTACACGTGGAGTCACACACACACATGAGTTACAAACACAGCTCAACATAAGAAGTCACACACGAGTCATTATTAGAGCCTAAAATAACGAGTCACATTTAAGTCATTAAAACAGTCTAATACAAGAAGTCATACACGAGTGAAAAAACAGCGTACGGATTTATTCCACTTTTATTTTTACTGGTACATAATTTAACAATGTACACATTCATAAAAAGTGCAAACATATGCACCCAAACAAGGACATGTTAACAATCTTGTGCGTGACCGTCCCAAGACTCCATACGTGTTGCTGCTGAAGTCTAAAAGCTCTCCACAAAAATTATTAAAGTATTTAAAGTCATTACAAAAACAAGAGCACCTGAGCTTCCGCCACAAAACTGGGGAGAGACAAAATATTCCTGAATGGATTTAGAAAATGCACAATACATGTAACTCAGACCCCACTCGCATCTAACGATACAATCTAATCTCCTTTTGAGCAGTTTGGAAAAAGAGGAGTATATTGACAAGAGAGAGAGAGAGAGAGAGAGAGAGAGAGAGAGAGAGAGAGAGAGAGAGAGAGAGAGAGAGAGAGAATGAGAGGGAGGGAGAGAAAGAAAGACACAGAGAGAGTGAGAGATATCTATAGACTAAGAGAGAGAGAGAGAGAGAGAGAGAGATGTGGAGACAGACAGAGAGAGACAGACATACAGAGAGACAGACAGACAGACATACCAGTGGCACCCTCCAACCTTGAACTTAAACACACAAGTACAGGCATCTTCTGAATTATGTGAGTTCCAATAAATAATTCTAAAAAATAATTAAAAAATGACATTGTAGCCTACTATACTACAACAGCTCACAAAGAACTCACGAATTCAGAATTTGCAACACATAAATATTAAAAAACAAAGAAAAAAACCCCCCAACAACTCCAAACCAACAGTGAGCTGCTCAGAAATCAGGACGGATTAAGCCTACTCAAAATAGTCCTGCTGTTTCAGTATTTTCAAAGCGATTTTTCTCTTATTCCAGCAAGATAGCTTGCTATATAAGATAAAATAAGGGCATCAATTTATTGATCTCCTCAAAGAGAAATGTGCTGCATCATGATAAATGCACAATACGCATAAATAAGCACTCGACACTACTCTTTCTCTCACACACACACACAAATAGTCATCGGAGGGACATAAGGGTGGGGAGGAGAGAGGATGGAGTAGAGCAGTAGACTTTACAGGTTTCTACTAGGTTGGTCTGGCTATCTATCCCATAAAAATTAAATATGGAGGTCCAAAGAGGCAATATAGTAGAGTGCGCTGAAACAGAAATCTGCGGGACTGCCTGATCATCTTCAGTATAATCAGGTTTTCTGCATAGAGAGGCTTCTCGGATATAAAAAAAAAAGGATTTTCTTTTCTTCCACTTAACCCCTGTTTTCAAACTTGACTAACCATGTTCAGTTCAAGCAAACTCTAAAGTATTGAAAAAAAAAAAGTCAACAATGAAAAACCCAAAGCTTTGCGGGTTTTCCCATTTACAGGAATCTCATCCTTCACACAAGTATGTGAATATCACAGCAATAGCTTTTTAATTGTATGTACAAATGTTCTTTTGCACCAATCATAACATAAATGCTGAATAATATACATTATATGTACAGGGTAAAACAACTGCCTTTTGGTGCCAAAATAAAAAAAACCCAAATTGCAAAAGTACAAAACAGCACGTACGAGGTACAAAGTATGTAATTTTGTACAATACGAAAAAATAAACCATTGCACAAGCACTCTACTCATTTACATCTTCACATCACACACTGATGAACAGGGTGCAAATGAAAACAATGCATCCACAATCTTTGAGATCAAAAAGGGCCTATGTCCAGACCTCATCACATTTGACTACAGAGAAAACAACTTAAATTACAATCTCGCAAAATGATCACCTCACTAGCAAACACACACACAATGATAGCACAAAAAACACTTGTGAAGAGAAAAAGTAAATTTTACAATATAAAATACACTTGTTTGCAAAAATAATGTAAATCAAAGAGATTTGGTCTGGTATGAATTGAAATTGTACCTTACAGACATCACAATGTGGATGATACATTTTTTAAAAATCCTCACATAGGCCCAGGCTGTCACCCACAACACAAAAGGATAGAAATTTTCTAAAACATTGTCAATCTAATGTTTGCCTTATTCCTGGCCTTGGTACTTCTTAAGTCTTTTTTCTAAGGGCAAAGTGGCACTGAGCGACTACAAGGGCTCGAAGAAAAGACGGTACTAAAACTTAGACAACGAACGTGATATAGTGTGACCTACATGTCCTGATCTGGTAGTTTTTTCTCCCCATATACACCGAGAAGGAAGGGCGTGTTTGGGATGGCCGAAATTTTTTTGGTTAAAAATAGTGCTCAGGGGTATTACGATCGTATTTTCGTAAAACTGAATAAAAATCATAATGATTCCTCCAAATTCATAATGATGAGCAGCCCTGGTCATATTGCATAAACACAGCTTTGATCATATGGCATATACACAGCTATGGTTAATAAACATGCTGTCCTAGACGTAATCACAGCCAGGATCAATCCACCATGTCCTTTGTGTATATGTACAGCATCTGTCAGTCCTATGAGACTATGGGCCTGCACAGCAAATGCCCATCTGCGACATGTGGTCAGCAGTTACATTCCACACTGAGCCCACATCTGAACAATGCTTTCCACCATGTCCATGAAGGGGAGTGGGGTGGGGGGTGTGGTCATACATCCTTCTCTGACAGTTGCCCTGCACTTAGACCTCATATGAACCAGACTATACATAAGCCATGGCAACCTCTACATAGACACCTTTGCCCGTATGCTCACTGAGTAGTAGAGTCCTGAAGTGAACACCCTCTGACAAAAATAGGCGGTGACTTGTATGTATGGCTCTTGTGGCGTTGACTACACACAACACATCCTGAGAAAACTGCACTTGTGACGACTGATCAGTCATAGTAATCTTCCTCCTCTTCATCATAGCCAGACACTGAAAATAAGCAGAATAAACACAGACATGCACTGATAAAACAGTTATGCAGTAACTTGTCAATGCAGTTAAAATTCCGATATGGCAAACCCAAGTAAAAAAAAAAACCCCCAACAAAACCTACTTATTATGAGAAAATGGAAAAACACCACCGACTGCTGTACCGCGTAGACTATAGCTAGAGAAAAGAAATAACAAAAAGGCATAAGACTGACCTGTAAAATATATTTCAATTAACAACAATCAGGGAATCTCTCTCTTTGTCAAAATGAATTTGATCAGGGCAGTACAGCTAACCTTGAAAAGCCGAAAAGCCAAGAAGAAGGACACAGAGAACAAAGATGCAAAACAAGACAAAAAGCTACATCAAAATCGGGTTCGCTCTCCTAATTAAAAAACAATGTGGAGAGAGAACAGAAGAAAGCACACATATACTGAACAAACTAAAAGTCACAGAACTACTCACGATGAGGAAACTGAACAATATGCAGCTACTTTGACCCCGCCTGATGGGGCCAGACTAGATAGTGGAACATCAAATCCCAGTAGAAAGATGGAGCTCTTCTATAAGATATCTTTTTCAGGAATTAAACTCATGTAATTAATATTAATGTGCAAGGCTAGGAGTCAAACCATTACGCCATGAGCCCATTTACCAAAGAAGCCTTTCAAGTGAATATTTATGTTAGGATTATTACAGGGAAAGTAAAGACAATGAAAAATATACCATCAATGAATAGACAAACAAAAACAACCAAGACGATTTCAACATGTCTTTAATTTTAGTAGAAGTTTTACGGCGCTCGCAACTGCATAAAGTCATTTGAGTGCCAGAAGATTAGAGCTGTTACAAGAGAGTAACAAACATAAAAAAGAGGGGGAGATAAGGACGATAGATGTTTGACAGGAAAGAAGAAGCAAACCACACCAGAGCACCTGCCAACCTCCCACTTCAACATGTCTGAGAGAGGAAAGCGTTTAAAAAATAATTTCATAGAGCAGTATGGGCAGCCAACACTTCATGGGGTGGGGGGGATGCGAAGAAAGGGAGAGGGAGAGGGGTAGAGAGAGAGGGGTAGAAAGAGAGAGAGAGAGAGAGAGAGAGAGAGAGAGAGAGAGAGAGAGAGAGAGAGAAACACATTTTAAACATAAAAAGAGAAAACTAATAAGTCTTTGAACGCAATAATGTTCTTCTCACATATTTGAGGGGTGGGAGAGAGATGTTGAACGGAAAATTACAACAAGTCACCATGAAAAAGGCTATACAGTAGTACCCAAAACAACAAAGAACAAATACAACAGAAAATAGAAAGGAGGAACGCACAACACCAGAACCACCACAACCCAGATCAACCACCTATATTGAAAGGATTCTTTATATCACATCCTCACTTTGCTTGCTTTATATTAATTGAAAATGAGACCCATGAAAAAACTCGGGCGTCTTTTTTCCCCTCTAAAAAAAAAACAAAATTTGACCTTTGATGCACACATTTTAAAGTAACAGGAACCTTTTCAAACACACCTCATCAAATGAATCAAATCTTTGTGAAACAAAATAATTGTACTCTCAACAATTGACTTCCCTTAACTTAATGCTCACCCAAACCATACATGCTGCTGTCAAAGTTCTGATTCAACTACCTACTGCAGCCCCTGTGGTTTCCAAGTTCAGAATTTTGAAAAATGTATCCTTGTGACAACATCAGTTACATTAGTGATTTTAAATACACATTGAAAAGGCGGGCACTAGGGATAGCAATGAGAAATATGGCGTGCAGGCAGTGAGTTAACATAAGAGGTTCATTAGAAGTCTAGAGAACGATCTGTTCAAACTGCTGGACTTGATGGAGAGCACACTGACACACAAAACCCCCCCCCCCCCCCCCCCCCGTAATTTTGCGAGTTTAAAAAAAAAAAAGAAGAAGCCAGCAGACAACAAATAAAAACAGCAGGAGAGCAGGGAAGATACAGTATATGCTGATGGTAAAACACACCTGTTCCCCCCCCCCCTTAAAAAAAAAGCCTGATGCTAACACACAAGATAACAAACAGTCATACCGTCCTGTCCCAGCAGTTGCCTGGCACTGAGAATTTTCTCCTCCGCTTCATCATCTTCGTCGTCGTAGTCTTCTTCATCCTCTTCCTCTGCCAGTTCTTCTGCACCTTAAAACAATATAAATTGGCTTTGAAAAAAACCCCAAACCCAACCATTTCTCTTAGCTTGACACAAGACAGGAAAACCGACATTACAAAACTATTTTATTTGAAAACATTTTTTAGTTTAAAAATACTTGCATGAAAAACAAATTCTAGACTGAACAGGCAGCAGCAGCTCTGCACTTCAAAGACATTAAGAATGGGAGAATCTGATACAGCTCCATAAGCTTTACAATGACCAGAGTAATGCATTGTGGCAGTTCAAATCCACTGCAGAAATAGCTATATGAGAACTTGAAAGACCTTCAGAGAAGCACTATGGTCGTACAGGCCACAAAAATCTCAATCTAGCCAACAAGGAGAAAGATTTGGTTTTATTGTATGTTTCACAACCCATCACAATATAGGATATTTGAAAAGTAGGAATATGTTTTAACATCTGTCAAGGGTAAAGAAACTCTGCAAAATCAGTCTTATGAAAGTCTCCAGAAAGTTGCCATCCAGGAACCTCCCTCTTCATCACAAGGCAAGTGCCTTGACCACTATACTACACTGATTCACACGAGGAAGAAGATGCCAACAAACCTTGACCTTCAGCATACATGGGCTCACTGTGTTCTTCCACCACAATCTCTGTTGGTGCTGGCTCCACCTCTTCCTCTAAGACCTTGACCTTTCTGGCTGGCTCAATGTCAATTGCATCTTGTATTCGAACTCTCTTGTTAGCAGCAGCCTGAGTAATGGGGAGAACATACAAATATTACTAAAAACTTGGCAAACACTGTTTTCCCCCCCAAACAGTCTACCCGGCACAACGAAACAATTAAAAATGTTTTTAAACTTACGCTATGCCATCACATGTCAGAGGTGGCATACCTCAGTTTACAGAGACTCAGCACAACAATGGCTATATTTCAGGAAAAGATTGCAATAACAACAACACTAAAAAGTAGTAGAAAGAATAGGAAAGTGGAGATATACTGATAAACAGCTAGACACTAGTGTTGAGCTCTGCCCACAAAATGTTTACAAACGAATAAAGGAGCGCTCGTTTCTAGAGTCTGCAAATAACAAGTGAATAAACAAATCACTTCCCGTATCTGACTGCAGGCGGGCAGAAGCTAATTGGTATATTGAAAGACTCATTATTCGCTGATCGAGCGAGATGCTGTTCATTTGCCACGACATGAATGAGCAAGCCTGTTGAGCCGGCAACACTTATTTTGGCTAGCTCATTCATGATGTCACAGCCACAATGTCAATGCAGTCCCACCTTTGTGAGTCGATCTTCAAAAAACAATACGCATTTTGAGCACATGTTGATTCTATCACCCTGGTGTCCACTGCGCATACCTGATTGCTTGCTTCTCAGTTCTGTAACAAACCAGTAGCCCTAGACCAAGGTCTATTGAACGATAGCTACGCCACTATGATATAGCTAGCCTATCTTTAGGACCAATATGTCAAGCAACCACTTTTTGCCTACGAATTTCAGTCCAGCCAGCGCTTGATGTGCCCCACTTAGTGTTATTCGTTTAACAGACTGCCCGCAAAGTGGTCCACCCGTTTTTTGACCGCATCCTCTGCACTAGCGGTTAACAAATCAGTACTGAGCGCTCACTACATCACAACTAGACATGGATGAATGGACAACCCTGAAATTTTACACCCACAATTTAAAAAAAAAAAATAGTTTCAGTTTCAGAAATCTATAAAACAGATCTGTTTAATTTGTAGGGGAATGTTCAACAACTCTTTCCCCTGACTGTGAGGGAACTATTGTACAATGATGAAATTTGGAGAATGTCATTTTTTAATCTTTTCAGAACTTTGGGGAGGGGGGCATGGCAATAACCATAACCTGTCAGTGCTGCTAAATAAAAGTCAGGTAATGCTAATGGACTTACCCTCTTCCTCTCTGTTTTTGACTCTGAGATAGAAGACTTCCTGAACCTGAAAAAAAGGCACCAGAGCGTAAGAATATACATTCAAGATGTGAATATATCATAAGACATCAATTGAATGCAATTTTATAATTTCAAGCTTAAGTAAGTTTTAACTGCACTTGCAATACAAAAAGGTTATGTAAATGCTGAAGGTAAGAGGTGTTACAAGAGAGTAACAAACACAAAAAAAAAAGATCAAGACGATAGATGTTTGATAGGTAAGAAGGAGCAAACCCCACCAGAGCACCTGCCAACCATCTGCTACAGTTTTTAAGTTTAAAATTCTGCTCAAATTTTATTAACTTCTACAACCAGGAGACCCGTTTTGAAAACTGACAGTGTGCTATGGACAACATTGTCGTAACCTTTATATGTTTTCTCCTCTGTTTCTTTTTGCAGTGTTGTTCTTTATGCTGGTTAATAATTCCGTCTCATTTGTTTCTTTTTGCAGTGTTGTTCTTTATGCTGGTTAATAATTCTGTCTCATTTGTTTCTTTTAGCAGTGTTGTTCTTTATGCTGGTTAATAATTCTGTCTCATTTGTTTCTTTTTGCAGTGCTGTTCTTTATGCCGGTTAATAATTCTGTCTCATTTGTTTCTTTTTGCAGTGTTGTTCTTTATGCCGGTTAATAATTCTGTCTCATTTGTTTCTTTTTGCAGTGTTGTTCATTTTGCACTTTATAGTTCTGACTCACCTGCAGCTTTTTGCAGTGTTGTTCTTTTACAATATTTGTTAGGTAATAGTTCTGACTGTCTCACTTGTTTCTTTCTTGTATGCTTTGGCAAGCACTTCTAGAAGACAATTACACGTTTTCGTTTTTGATAATCTTTCAGTAATATTGTCCAAAAGATAGGAAATAAGGAATAATTTTGTTTTGAGGTTTAAATTTTTCTTTTGTAAGAAAAAGGAGAATTTTGTCCTACACTGTACACAAACCAACGATTAAGCCTACTTTGGTTGGACAGTACTTATTATGTGTATCGGTAAATGAAAGACAATTACAGCACTTAATGTTTAGTTTTAGTTTTAGTATTAGTAGAAGTTTTACGGCTCTCGCAACTGCATAAGGTCGTATGAGCACCAGAAGATTAGAGGTGTTACAAGAGAGTAACAAACATAAAAAAGAACAAGGGGCGATAAGAACGATAGATGTTTGATAGGAAAGAAGGAGCAAAGCGCACCAGAGCACCCGGCAACCACCCACGTACTTAATGTAAGATCAAAATTTGCGACCTACCAACACAAATAGACTATTACACATTTAAGATGATCAATTTGTATCTCAAAAGAAGTAAAACTTAACTATAACCCCCTAAAAACTTTTAAAAACTATAGATAGAAAAGGAAAAAACAATTATATGAACAAATTAAAAAACAAACACATATGTACAAATCAATAAAAAGACAAGAACAAGAGTACAATAAACAAACGAAGAGAGATAGACAAATTTTTTTTAAAGGCTGACAAGTAAAATCTAACAAAGACAAGTAAACAAATAAACAGACTACAAGTATACGCATAAGAATAAATATATTATAACAGAAAAAAAAATCCACATAACTAAAACAAGTAAAGAGGAAAACGAAGAAAACAGACAGAAACCTGAATAAACGAAACGACATTAAAAAAACCGGTATCAACCTGTTGATCATCTGGGGCTTGTGCTCTAGCTCCACCTGCTTGTCATCCTCAGAGACCGCTTCAGCCTGACTGACCACAGGTTCGGAGGGCTCAGCAGCGTCCAGCGTGTTGAGAACACTGTAGTTGATCTTGTCGGAGAACTTCTTCTCCTTGATGTCTTTCTTCAAGATCTCCATGCACTGGGCCAGCTCAGACTCCAAGTCATAGCCACCTTTCTTTTTCTTTTTCTTCGCTTTGGGCTGGAGAATGGAACCAGGTATGATGAGGTGAGCAGGAAGAGGAAACATGAAAGTTTAGACAAAATGAAATACAATCAACATGGCTTTCTGAAAAAGAAACAGTACACTAAAACAGCACAAACAGTTTGTGCCTCTATAAATGCATCATTTGTGGTTTGTTTTCACAAAGAAACTTTCTCTCCCAGCAACTGATGAACAAAAGGCATGAAAAAAATAAACATGATTTTAAAATGAATTCTATTAAGTAAGTAGACACAATATTTTTACAGATTTGTTTGTACAAGAACTGGAAATCTCTTCTCAGCATAAAACTATACCTTGCATGCTCAACTAAGTACCAAGTCTAAGAACAACACATATAAAGCACTCACCCCTGCCTAAAAAAACAAAATCCACAAACCTAAATTCTGCTGTGCACATTAGACATAACGTCGCCTCAGAATTATTTTGCCCAAAGTGCCTCTTTACTTGGCACACTTTTGACAAAATAGTTCTGAGCGATAAGTATAACACCACCCAAGAAGAAAAAAACGCCCAAAAAACTAATGATGTCATACAGATTGACACACTAACTGTAACAGAGTTGAGGCCTTTCCTTTTCAGGCAGCACCATGCGATTTTCAAAGTTACGGTATGTCTAATATAGACTCCTTCCCTCGAGTGTTTCACTAGATGAACCCTAAATTTCAACTCCCCATGCAGCCATCATCCTGATCAAAAATCTTTTTCAGATGAAAAATCAAAAGCTTGTATCAACAAAATATTTTTCACTAACTAAAACAACACAGATCCTCACATTTTTTTCCTTTTTCTTGGCTGCAGCTTCTTCTTTTAGTCGACGTCTTTCTTCTCTTTCTGCAAAGCAAATGAATCAACACAGTTAGGGTCAATCACATCTTCCTGGCGAGAAGAAATGCTTTTCTTCAACAAAGGCATAGACTATATAAGAACACTACCAAAACCCAAAGAATGAAGAACAAACAACATGGTTGTCAGCAGCATGTAATGAGCTACAATAATGGCCTATGTCAGACATGCACCAAAACCAAACTGACCCCACAGGGCATTCCTTACGCTCACCATCAGGTGGTAACTTATCAAGACAAAATCACTCTGGCCAGACTCTGGAAACATGTGGAAGCTCTTTGCAATAATATATCATACTCAAAAACTATGGAAAATGACATATCCCATTTTCAGAGCTTGTGGAGAAACAAATTTGTACAGATGATTGGTAGCTCGTATGCTACTTATAATTCTAATTTCTTAGCCAAAATCTCGTTGGTTCTTGGCAATCATATTCCAGTACTGTGTTTTTGCATGCTGCAAATGTCATAAGCCCATATCGACACAATTAAGACAACTGAAAAATCAGGTTGATGCCACCCTACCTCTCAAAGCCAACCAAAGCTGTCTGGGACATAATCCCAGCAAAAAGATGAATATATTTGAAAACATATCTTCCCCACCTGGAAATTAAATTCTTGTCCTATGCAAGTGCTATCAAATCTGCATAACTTTTACTCAGTATAAAAAATGGCTATAACAGGATTTAAGTTAGTGGTACAACCCTTTAGTTTTACTATGAGTAATACAGCACTTGAAACAATTAGGTCATATATGTTACTAGAGATTATCATACAGAAAAAAAGGAGGAGAAAAAAGGAAAACAGATGTTGGATAGGAAAGAGGGAGCAAACCACACCAGACAAAAAAGAAGGAGGGGAGATAAAGACGATAGATGTTTGACAAGAAAGAAGAAGCAAACCACACCAGAGCACCCGCCAACCACCCACCAATAGATGTTTTTTAGTTAAAGTTTCGCAGCACTTGCAACACAATAAAGTCATATAAATGCCGAAGATTAGAGGTGTTACAAGAGAATAACAAACAAAAAGGAAGGAGGGGAGATAAAGACGATAGATGTTTGACAAGAAAGTAGAAGCAAACCACACCAGAGCACCCGCCAACCACCCACCAATAGATGTTTTTTAGTTAAAGTTTCGCAGCACTTGCAACACAATAAAGTCATATAAATGCCGAAGATTAGAGGTGTCACAAGAGAATAACAAACAAAAAGGAAGGAGGGGAGATAAAGACGGTAGATGTTTGATAGGAAAGAAGAAGCAAACCACACCAGAGCACCCGCCAACCACCCACCAATAGATGTTTGATAGGAAAGAAGGAGCAAATGTTGAAACCACATCAGTGCACCCCGCCAACCATCCACGATATCTCACAAACCTGTACTTTAACCTTTCAAGCCTTGTAAAGATTTACCTTTGACAACCTCCATGTAGTCGCCGAATTCTGCCTCAAACCATTTGGCTTTGTGTTGAGTCTCCTCCTGTGTGTTGATCATCTGAGAGAAGGTAAGAAAGGAAAGACTATAGTACAGCATTTTCAAAGGATACATTTTTCTTATTTGCCTACAGTGAACATATGTACACATTGCATAAATAATACAGCACAGATACATGAATAAGCAAGATCTCTTTATTCTACTTCTTCTCTCCAAGCTCCCCCCCCCCCTACTTTATACCTTGAAATATTTATTGCGATACAAAATGAAGTATTTCCCTCAAACGCAAGACATAAATCTCACAACCTTTGCACAAATGCACGTGTCCCATAAATCCATTCACCTCATTCATAACCTTCATGGGCAAGGTGAATCAATCTGAATCAACCCTTTGTCAATCTGAAACAAACTAAAGTTAGACATAATTGAGGCAAACAAAATATCCAAAGAATTAACTTCAATCGATACCGCACCTTGTCGATTTCTTCATCATCTATCCCTGAAAGGTCAAGTTCACCATCCTCTACTTTGGCACAGATACCCTCTTTTTCCTCTGCAACCTTGTCATCACTGACTGGTTCAGCTAAAGACATCTTCCCACTCTTCAACTCTGAGGATAATATTCGAGAAACTGTTAGGAAAATCTAAAATAGGAAAAGCACCGGCCACGAAAAGTGTTTTTTTTTCTGTACTAGAGTTATGTAGGATATAGTACCAAATACCATAACTTTACCTGTGATCTGCATAATTAGGATATAGTACCAAATACCATAACTTTACCTGTGATCTGCATAATTTTGACCACTCAAGAGGCTAGCTGTTTCTTCCCAGTTTGTCATAACATTTTAAACAAAGAAAGCACTACCAAAGTCCATCATAATACTAAATTTGCTAACAGTGCAACATACAGCAAATGGATCAAGTTAAGAATTAATATTCCAGAGAATAAAGTACACTTTTTTTCTTCCTCAAATCAACACTTAAAAATAGAAGAAAAAAAAAGGGGGGCTCTCATGGCCTAGAGGTTAAGGTGTTCGACTCTCATTCAGTAGGTCCCGGGAAATTGTCTCCTTTCATCTCCTTTCCTGCTCTGTGGCAATGTTCTGTCGTCTGCTTTCATCTCCACTTTCTGCTCCCACCCCCTCACCTCCTTTGCCCCCTCCTCTGGGCTCCTGACTCTTTCTGCAGCCTTTCTACTGCTACTCACGGGCTCCTATTTATTGTTGTCTTTCAGCAACACCCCAGATCTACTGGTAGGAAAGATCTACACCTAGCCTTCTCGAACAAGGGCGAAAAATCTCTGAGGTCCCGAGTGCATGTTGCCCACATTAAAGATCCCTCGGTAGTCCAAAATCGATAAGAGTAGGCTTCGGCCGCCATCCGGGAAAAATTTCAAATTTCCTACCAACTGAAAATGTTTAGGTGTCTCACACGCTCATATGACTTTATGCAGTTGCGAGCGCCGTAAAACAAACAAACAAACAAAAAAAGGCAACACACAAGACCTACAAATGGCAGAGTCTGGCTTACCATCTTCTGGGGCAGAGACAATTTTGACCACATCTTCGACCTTGCTCATGTCTTCCAGCCCCTTCCACTCGCCACTCTTCCAATCAGATCCAGCTGCACCCTTCAGCACCACCTCGTCCAGAGCCTTCACTGCCTTGTCCGCATCAGAAAAGCTTTCTTTGTTTGGGTCTGAAGACAAATTAGAAAAAAATTACAAAAGTTATAGAAGCCACATAAAGGATCTATTCCACAATAACATGCCTATTATTACGTTCAAAGAATCATAGAATCTTATAAATATGACAAAAAATGTCAAAGACAAACCCCTTATATGAGCTCGCATTGAAGTCCAGAGCAGTACTCAGCTCAGGTAAAAATGTCCTGATCCTTCATTCAAGAATATATGAGTCTTGATGAGTCAAATTTTTGTTAGTTTGATGTTAATGGAAATGACGTCACAAAAAAAAATCTCACTTCAATATCATATAAAGCGCTTAGTCATTCACACAGGAACAGTTAATCTCAAGTTGAACTATCTTACATGAAGGGTACTAAGGATCACCAAGCAAGTGAAGTAGGCCAAGAAAGGCAGGACACAGAATAACATTAAAACATTATTTTTAAAGGAAGATTTATTTCCACTTGACCAATTTCATGTAGTTAGCATGCAATTCTTAATTGCACTGCATTGTATGTTAAACTGCCCTTACCACAAGCAAATAAGCCTTAATTTTTTTAAAATGAAATAAAATAACATTTAAAAAGGGAACAGAAAAAAAATGTATCATGACCAACATGAATCTTTTAAGCACTAGTAATCCACCTATTTAAAAACTCACCATCTGTTGGCAAAACTTTCTTCTTTAAAGATTTGTTGATGTTGTCTTGAAATTTGTTCAAATCTTTCATTGTAGACTCTGGAATTTTGCCTTCAGCGAGCTGGGTCAGAAGAATAGATAAATAAAAACAGTCGTTAAGCTTTTACTTTAGATCAAATTATCAAAGCAGAACTTTGTATAAGTTCATACCACAGAGCTGGGTACCAACTGTTTCACTATTCCCAATGAAGTGAAACAGTAATTTATTCCAGTGGAAATGAAAAACAACAAATGAAGACAATGCATCGAGAGGCCATCAGCAATTATAACTATCATTGCATTAATTGTCAAACTCAGTCGTGAATCACTACAACTATCTAATAAGACATGTGTTTGTTTTAGTAAGAGTTTTACAGCACTTGCAATAAAGAAACGTTATATAGATTAGAGGTTTTACAAGAGAATAACAAACACATAAAAGAAGGAGGAGACATAAGGATGATACATGATTGATAGGAAAGAAGAAGCAAACCACACCAGAGTAACAGCCTACATAGAGTAATGAGAAGCTGAATAAGAGCTGTGAACAAAGACAACAAAAAGTACAACGATAAATTCAGGGGCGACCGTAGTGACCACACTGGATCATATGAAACAAGGACAATCAGTTGAGTACATTTCATGTCGCTGGTACTTGAACTCGTGAGCAAAACCCATCCCCAACCTACTAAAATAAATGTGAAGCAGCGTGGTGGATTCAGGCTCTCGTCAAAATAATCAAAGTGAAGAAACCAGCATTTTTCCGCAGGTTTGTGAATTTTTATCAAATTTTTGTTTTTTGGCTCAACACCTTTCATGCCCATTAAAGAACTCATTTCCGAGAGGATTTTTAAAAAAAACGTTGATTAAAGGCACAAAAAATGTAAATTTTCAGTTACCACGGACTCTTAAGCTAACATTATAACTAATCTTTGGCGGCCATTTTCTCTCTAATTTTACCTCTGAAAACAGGTGACCTCCACCTCCTTCATTCCCAAATATCTCCACTTGTATTCAGGATAAATAGATATTTTTTTCATCCAAATAAAAACAAGTGAACAAGCTTTAAGATGATACCAATAACTCTACATGTCCAAAAATTGACGAGAGCCTGATTCCACCACGCCGCCTCACAAATGTTTTTTTTAAAAAAGTCCAACTTCAAGACCATGACTCGCATTTACATAACAAATTAACAAAACCAAGATCTCAATCCTACCCTAGACATAAAAACCACCTTAAACTCATAAAATCTTCAGACTAGCTTTTACCAAAGACATACAATATCTATTTGAAAATTCGTCCCTCCAGTCACTTTCTTATACATTTGGCTATTCCTACTTCCCACCTGCGCCAGTTTGGCCTTGCGTTTTCCCTCAGTGAAGCACGGTGGATCCTGTTCCTCTTCCAAATCCACGTTATCAAACTCCTCAATGGTAAGCTGTGCCGATGGGGTGCTATCAAACTCAAGCAACCTTAAGCCGAGCACAAGGAAGAAAAGAAAGAAGCTATAAAATGTGGCAATGTTTGTTGGTTGTATCTGTTAAGCCCCCCGATCAAAATGATTAAGATTATGAAGGACTTTGACGACCCTAATCCTGCCTGTGAGGGCCAACCTAGAGAAACGAGGGATACTTCACAAAATACATCGCCAGCAAGCTGTTCAGATATCACCCAGAAAGCCAAATGTTTCAGGAGAGAGAAAAATACTTTCATTCTTTAAAAAAATTGTAGCTTATAGTTTTTTAAAACGACTAAAATATAATGATTACTGACATTAATGAGTTCCTTCACATTCAAAGGCAGCTTTTATGGCCTCCCTTCATAATATCACCAATACCTTGAGATAGCCCTATATAAAACAATAACTCGTTAACAGGAATAGCAACAATACATGATTTGCTTTGTAAAAGAGACATTTTAAAAAAGTCATTCCTGTCCAGAAAACGTAGACCCAAACAAACTTCCCTTTTACAACAGCTCTATGAGTGCCAAGAAAAGATGATTAATTCTAGCTATTGTGGTGCTGAACTGTACCTTTTCCTTACTGTACTTTCACACACTTTGACAACCTTAATGATCTGATCAATGGTGCGGTTGAAATTATGCATTCTGGAAGAGATGAGGAGGGCTGCAACAGAAAAGAATAGAAAATGTTTGAAATACAAATAAATTTTCCAAAACTAGTATAAGTGGGGTCAATTTTAACACAGCATAAATTTCATGTCTGCATTCCTCCTTAGGCAGCAACACAGATGCACAAGAAGAAATAGAACTTTATAGAAATGAGTAGGAGAATGGAACTGATGAACAAACCCCAAGTACCCTCAACCAGCAAGCCCGGTCCATATTGAATACATATCCAAAAATATCCAAACAAATAGATTAGATAACACCTTATCTTCCACATAAGGGAATCAAACTCACCTCCTCTGTGCAGATAAAAAATTCAAGAAGTTCATAGTTTTGTTCACCTGACTCATAGTGTTATACTGATATGAACAAAATATGAGACTGAAAGCAGTATTTTCCTAACAAGCTGCAACAATGTTAGTAGTTTTTTTAGTAGAGGTTTTACGGCGCTCGCAACTGCATAAGGTCATATGATGCAACAATGTAAGTCTGCCGGGGATTGCGGGCAGCAAATTGGAGGATGGAGCAGGCCAACCATGAGTATAATTGTGAAATTCATGTGAGCCTTCTGAATTTTCCTTTTAGTACAAGTTTCACAGCATTTTCAACACAAATGGATAATTGACAACAGGAGATAAAGTGTTACTGAAGATCTACGTACAAAGAATATAAGGAGGAAAGATAATGACAATAAATGTTTATTTAGAAAGAAAGAGCAAACCACATCAGAACACCTACCCACCACTCACTAGCCTTCTCTTCCGACTGAGAGATAACAAATGTATATAAATCAACAATAATTTTCTTTCAGTTTTTCACCTACCAGCGCCACAGAGGCCGGCAGGTCGACGCCCCGTGTGCATCCAATCTCGCTTCATTCGCGCAACAAGCCTGGTGGCAGACTCCACTACCTTGTTCAGTTTGGTGCCAAAGTGAAGCTGGTTTGCAAATCGACGGATGTAGATAATTGGGTCTGCACACAAATTCAACCAAGCGGAAGGTCAGAAATAGCCAAAAAACACAACAAAAAAACCCTAAACATTTCAACATTACAACTATGATCAAAAGCAATGGTTTATACTGTCAACAGCTGAACATCAAACTCTTGACACAAGTGAGGCAGACAGGGAGTAAAGGACAATGTATCTTAAAAAAAAAAAAGAATCACCAAAATATAAATGCAAAAGCTGGAAATATAGATGAGGACCACATCTGTTGAAATTTTGTCTTTGGTGTGTGCAAGGAACCGCTCGTATTACATTGCTCCATACAGTTTGATGTTGTACAACGGGTACACTGACATCTGATAACTAGTCAGACCTATCCCAGACAACCACTCATAGTTTAGGAGAAAAATGGTCATCTTAGACTGGTGGTTCTCTTGGACAGTGTCAATATAATAAAACGGTAAAAAATGCAAGGGGGTAAGTGGTCGTTTTGGACATCGGGAGCACATTCAACTGTATGTAAGCCCAACAATCTTCCATAGTACCTAAATCCCGAAATTTCAAAGGATAAGCCCTCCTGAAAATGCTTTCTGTTTGTGATTTTGTTTGCAGTATTTGCAGCCCATAGTAGACAGTTAAAACGTTATAGCAACTATACAGATTAGGATGTAAAATCTAAAAGGAATATATACAATGAACATCATTAACACACACTAACTTATATGAGTATCACTGCACATACACCAAAATGACCCTGCTACCAAAAAATAAAGACAATAATGATTATCATTAACACTTAAATGATAATCATAAGCAAAAGTGAATGCAACAAAATCTTTGAAACCCTTTTACAGTTTCAAGTTTCATTTGCTCTTCCTAAGAAAACTAAAAATATGTTGAAATTATTTTCCCAAAGGGATGTGTAACAACTTAACTAGAACCACGAATTTGTCTCAGTAAATACATAGACGTAAGAACATTTACAAGATAATGGTCTTACCAACAATCCTGATATTTTGGCAGAGTTCAGTTGCAAGTTGAACAAAAGTGCGGCCCAGAACATGAACATTCACCTGAGATGAAAAAGATTTGTAGAACAATGAAGATCACTAAAACACATTACAATGAAAGTCAACATTCCCAAGAGCAAAACAAAAGGCCTTCTTTCCAACTTTAAACATATTTGTGTAAACTTAAGTTTTCAGAGACCACACCCCAAACAGCAGCCACATAGCTCTGGTGACTCATACAAATGTTCAACTGTGTATTGTGGAGAAATACTTCACAACAAATTCAACCTTCCCATGATGAATACCACAAACCAAGCTTTTTTTGTTACATTGAAATCCTCTTATTTTAACTAAACTAAAAAAATTTTTTATACGAAAGTTAAAAAGTACAGTCAAACCTGTGTAAGACGGCCACCCATTGTCAAGGAGAAAAGTGGCCGTATAAGAGGTGGCCGTCTTCGGCAGGACTGATCAAGATGAAGAAAATGAACCATTCCCATCTGAGGTCCCAATCGAAAGTAGCCGCATCTTTGCTGTTTTTGTTGTTGGTGGCGGTGGTTTGTATTTTGTTTGTCATTTTTATTTTGTTGCTGATTTTGCACAAGGGTGACAATAAAACGAAATGTATCAGACGAGGAAGACCGAGTGCCATGTTAAAACAAACACATGGGTCGCCACCACTCAGAGAACGAGTGACGCTTCTGTCACAAGTTCATGTTGACGTCCTTTGTTACTTTGTTACAGACTGGATAAACAGTGACCACTCATCTCACTTACGATTTGAGTATGAGTTCTGGGCTGGGCTTATGGGTTTTGAAGGATCACACATTTACCTCACCAGCAGCTGTAAATTGGAAGCTATTGGTCAACTATGGGAGGGGCCTACGCAACATGGTCGGTTGGAGGGACTACCTAATAACAACGACAGGTGATTGAATTATGACGGCTCGCCTACAACGCCAGGGGCCAATGCACAATTAATGACAAAACGTAATAGAGTCATTAAGGTGGCCGTCTAAGACAGGTGTTATTGCTTAGTGTGATAGGGGTTGTGTGTTAAAATATGGTGGCCGTGGCAGCGTTGGACAGGTGCCCGTTTTACACAGTTAAATTATATAGAAAAAACGCAAGGGGGGAAATGGAAAGTGGCCGTTTGTACAGGTGGCCGTCAGGGCAGGTTTGACTGTATAGAGAAAATAAACTCACCTGAATCATATCGCTGAAGTCTATCAACATCAGTGCACATGTTAAGGAAAAAATTTTGATACCCAGTACTATAAATATTAATTGTACAAGGATAGACGGTCTACAGTATAAGAAAGTTGGTGGGTGGTTAGCAGATGCTCTGGTATGTTTTGCTCCTTCTTTCCTATCAGAGATCTATCTTCCCCCCTCCCTTTCTTGGTAGGTATCTCTCTAGTAACACCTCTAATCTTCGGCAACCATATAACTTATTAGTGTTGCAAGCGTTGTGAAACTCTTACTAAACAAAAAGAAATTTAAAAGCTAAAAGATTGTTATTTATTTTTATTATAGTAGAGGGTTTTACGGCGTTCGCAACTGCATAAGGTCATATGAGCGCCAAGGGATGGGTGTCAACAGAGAAGTCCTTACAGGGAATCAGACTCAGACTGCTTACCTCTCTAGCTTCAACAGCACAAGGTCTGCTTCGACTATCAACGCACTCCGAAATAGCAGGTCACAAGAGAGTGACAAACATACAAACAAAGTAGAGGAAAATGATAATAGTAAGGATAAGGAAAGAAAAAGCAGCAGTCCCTGTTGTAGATCAGGCACAGTTATGAGCATGACATGAATCAGCCCATTTACAATTCTACTGTGCTTGAACAAGAAATGTCCCCCCTTTGGGAATGGCCTAAAGACACAAGAGAGAAGACAAAGACTAATAAGCTCTATTAGCGAAGCAAAAGGATATGTTCAAGGTCCTCACTACCCCCGGGATCTACACGACACACAAGGTACAAGCACGATGCCAGCACATATTCCATCTTGCGCCCCCTGGTGAACCTCTGCGCTACAGCCAGCTTGAAGAAGCCAAAAGCAGTCTCTATACTGCTCTGATGCATACGGAGCTGACCCCCCATTTCCTTCAGTCGCTTGTAGCCTGTGAACAAGATTCACAAGTAAATAATACCACATTGAAATTCATAAAAAAATAAGGGTTACCTTATGAAATGCCATCTTGATAGTCTTTATGCATAATACTCATAAGCTCATAAGTTGATGCACACATCGTCATCAAATGTGCTTTGATAGTACCGTATGAATGCTTGTGTTAGCATTTATCTAAAGAGCATATGTATCTGTATCACGTTCATTCACTTGTATTAGATGAAAGAATTGTAAAGTTCCTAGAGCTGTATTGTACAGGAGTGGGCACTGTAGAAATTGTCAGCATTTTAAATATTTTAGTAAACGAGCACCTCCAGCTACAAGTCAAAAGAACAGTTCATTCGGGTAAAGAAAATTTGAAATCACTGATAGCTTGTACAATTTGCCATTCCTCTACTGATATCTCTTTCTTCAAAGAGTCAATAACAGCTGATCAAAGTAGCACATCAAACTTTCCCTTATCACACACTTACCATTCTCTAGAGTCAGTTTCCTAGAATCCTCTGAGCTGAACCCGTGTCCATAGGGCCCCCTGAATGTTTGAGCCCTGGTGCCTGTGGGTCAAAAAAGGTTTTTGTATATTCAGAATACCTTTATTGAGACCCCTAAAGACACACAGGTACACAGTGGGAATATATTACAAGTAAAATATAATACACATGTGACATCACTGTATACTTCCCAGGAAGCCATAGAAATATTTTGAGTGTTCTAGGACTCAACCGGGTAATATTTGATGTGAAGTGCAGAGAACATGCTGTAGAGTGTGGATATGTGCTTTATAAATACAATAATTACTAAATTATTTCTACTGTAAATCACAATGGTTATTGAGCTATGAAAAAACTGTATTAGTATTGTGTATTGTGACTGAATACCAGAAATGACATTTTATTTGTTTACATCGTCACTGACACAAAACTTCAAGGGCATGAAAAATATCAAAACAAAGTTTTTGGAGCTGGAAGGAACTGCAGTCAGATGCTATTCCCATTCATTGAGTCACAACAGAAGTATACAAACCACAACCCCAGTTCTTGCAGCAAATCTCACAACATTGAAATGCCCAGCACAAAAACAATTGATTACCAGAAAGAGGTGAAATGTATGCACTAGGACTAGCAATAAATTTTTTTTAAAACACCCACCCCCCCCCCCCCCCCCACAAAAAAATCCAACCATGAACCCACAGAAACAATATGCCTACAAGTTACTTACAACATAATGTAATAAATTTTATTTTAAAACATCAAAAAAGAAAATGGGATGCTCGAACTCACCATCATTGGAAACAAACTGTCCAATGACAGAGGCCCCACCGGCGCCACTCTCCTGGTACTGGACCTCTGAGACAATGATCTGGTCCTCAAGCACTGTGCCGCAATTGGTGCAGACTGCATCGCCACGGGCCGGATCTGTGTCGATCTCCGTGCATCCACATTGTGAGCACGCTCGAGGCATGATGACACTATTTATAGGATCTCTACTTTCTCTGGGGACAGGAAATTTTTAAATTGTAGACTACGTAAAGTTGTTGTGGAAATGTGAAAACAAGCCAGTACGCGATTCATTTTTTTTTCTTTCCAGTTTCAATTAAGTATAAATCTTGGAATGACCAGGAATGTCCTAACACATGTTTCTGCAGGATGAATCATAGAGACATGATATGTGTAATTTCTGGTAAAAATGTAAATTTTGAAGTGTCTTTCGCATCTGACATCACAGTGACCCCATAGACAGAGAGCATGAAGACCTTAGACCTTGGATGTTTATTTATCAAGTAAATTCTGAACGTGAGGCTCAAATTTACTTTACTTTTTTACTGTCAAATCTCTTCCCACAGCCAGCCGTTTGCGACAGACTACTCTCATTCAACGTTATTAAAAATAAGCAGAAGAAGGTTCAAACAAAATAACAAAAAGATTCTAATACTAGATTTAACTTGGTGGTGACGTAGGTTTACTTTCCTGTTTCATGCAGGTATTTTCATTTGTATTATAATATATATATTTCCAATATTTTTTAAAATAACTATAACATCCAATCTAGGCCTTTTTTTCATGTTGCAGGATTTTATTTTTGGGAGTGTATACAGACCCGGTAACTGGGAACAAAGTCACGAAGTATACAGACCCGGTAGGGGAACTCTTTTGGGATTTCGGAAAGTTTCAGCGCTCTCTTGGCTATGGGTAGACCTAGGTTTTTCTAAATCTATGACCTAGGTTTAGATCTAGACATACAGACATAAATCATTGATCTAGTTTCGAGACTAGCCTAGATCTAGATATATCTAGATCTAGATCTAAATGAAGATTGTGGATGTCTTTTCGATGAACGATTGTTAATCCTCTGTTTTGGAGTTTGAGGAATTACAATTTGAAGAAAAGAAAAATGTCATAATTTCAGTCGAGCAGTCACCCCCCCCCCTCTCTCTCTTTCCTCTCTGTGTATCGCTCGCCTTCTCTTTTTCTTTGTTTGTCTCGGTCTTTCTTTCTCCCCACCTATTTCCCTATCTTCTATCTTTCTCTCGTTCCCTCCTGCCAACTGGGGCATGTCATACATTTTGCTAACACTTCCCCCTGCTCTCTCTCTCTCTCTCTCTCTCACACACACACACACACACATACACCACCATTTATTTTTTGCTGGATGACGAAATACAAATATAGGTTACTGTCAAGGTCGATCAGTCTTGTTTTCTCGCAGTACTTTTTGAAGGTATTTTCAAATGAAGTATAGTCCGGGAATGTTGCCCCAACCACAACGTCAACTGAAGTATACAGACGTTAAAAAATTTCTAGATCTAGCTCTAGAAATTGAATTTGTCATTTGATGCAAAAAAATGCTTCTTCCCAGTCCTTGCAGAATAGCAGAATGAAAGATGACGCCTAAATCTTGCAATTAACCAAAAAATCTTGAGGACAGAAACCGTTCTGAGAAATAGAGTTCAAGTTTATTTTCCAGAACGTTCGGAGAAAACAGAAATATAGAGCCGGCCATACAATAATTCTTTGGCCGGCACTATTTCTCTGAACGTTCTGGAAAATAAAGCTAGGCACTATTTCTCCAAACGTTCGGGAAAATAAAGCTAGGCACTATTTCTCCGAATGTTCGGGAAAATAAAAGCTGGGCACTATTTCTCCGAACACTCTGAAATCACATCCTTTCCTGCAAATTTCGGATATTATATAGATCTATAATTATAGTATAGGCCTACCAAAGATTGTTCGTATACAATATGGTTCAATCGGTCCAAAAAATGTCCGCAGTAAATATTTATATAAAGAAATGCTACAGTTCCAAACAGTTTTTCGCTAGAGATATGCCTATGAAGGGTGCTGCTCTTAAACTTAATGTGTTGTGTTCACTCGTGTGCTGTCTAGATCTAGATCTACGGAGGGTTATTGATAACGACACATAGAACTAGCATCTGCGTTTGTCGCGGCCGCGACCAATCAATCATGGCTCGATTTTTGGGCATTTTTTGGTCCCCGAATCGGGGAAAAAGTCAAATAAAAAAAAAAAAGTTAAAAAAAGAAAGAAACTGAACCTCTTTACTTTTGAAAGAAAGTTCACCAAGCTCCACTTCGTCTCTTTCTCACTTGTTGTCACCACGTTTATTTGTTGAATACGTTACAGTTACTTTTAATTACTTAAATTACGCACATTAAGTAGTTAAAACAGCCAATTTTCTTCAGACAGGTGGACTCACGCCCTTATTTGTTAATTTTTGTGGTTGTTTATGGGCTGTTCTAATTTTGATTTCATTCGGTTGTGAAACTTTTCTTTTTCACGTTTTTACACTCATCTAAAAATCTCTAGACTAGCTCTTTTGACAATTGAAATAGATCTAGATCTAGATCTAAAAATTTGCTCCTGTGTGTGTGTGTGTGTGTCTGTGTGTGGTAGTAAGTGTGTAAGTGGAGAGTGAGGAGCGTGTGTGTGTTTGTTTTTCGGGCTTTATTTCAGCCTTGATTCAGTAACAGTACAAAGTATACAAAAATAGAAACACAGGATCCATTCACTCCAGGGCTCATGAGTCGTTTCTCTCTTTCATTCAATTCCCGTGTTCTCTCTCGCGGCTCATCTCCGTCCGCATGACTTCCACACCCCACCCCTCCCTCCAGGCACACACAAAGAAAATCTCACTCATTCCCTTGCCACCCTGCGAACCATGGACAATAATATTAGCAAAACACTGCCTTAGCCGCATTCCTTTCGTTCGTGAGCTGTGGACCAGGCCAGGGGGGTCGGTGTCGTCCCCTTGTAGTTGCTGTCGCCTGTGGATACACTCGTACATTCTTCCTTTCACCTGCTCTGTCCAGTCTCTCCATCCACAGCTCAGCTCGTCATACGTTCAAAAGTTGCCCACTGATCATGTTTAGTTAGTGTGTGTATAAGTTTGTGTGTGTACATGTGCATGATGGTGGTGGGTGTGTGGTGGGTGTTACAGAAGGTTGTCTGTAGGCGGGCTTGCCACTTGCCATGCGGTGTTCCTTTCCAGTTCCCAGACCAGAGGCAGAATGAAAGTTGGCGCCAAACTCTTGCAATAAATAGGCAAAAAATCACGAGACCGGAAGCCGGAAACCGTTCGGAGAAATAAAGATCGGCACTATTTCTCTGAACATTCGGAGAAATAGTCACTTCGTAATTCTTTATTAGTTTGTGTTGTGGGGTGCCTACTGAGTAACAGTGGCCTTTCGAACTCGGGCTCTACATTCATCATGAATGATGATGTGCGGTAGAACTGCCACTGACACTGGTGACTGGTGGTATGGCAATGTATCAGTGAGTGTCTCACTCTCAGTCAGTAGATCTAGTAAGTAGATATCTAGAATCTAGATCTAGATAGATCTATAGAATAGCAAGTCTGTGCAGCCAACAGTCAACAGATGGTATAATTTGGAAATTTAGTATAAACTAGAAAATTAAAAGACCAGCAATGCATCTGTAAAAAACACCCATACACCTTTCCTTCTTGTAAAATAACACATAAAAATGATACATATTGACGAGATGCACACTATGCCCGAAGACGAAATCGAACCCACCACTTCGAATGGTCCATCATGGAGGCAATGAAACAACAACAACACTACCACCTCTGCCACACAACCTTGGGTCGCGCCCGCCTCTTGGTAACTATAGTAGACTGATAATCTACTTTCATTTTAAACATGGCCAACATTACTAATTACTTACGAGTTGAATTGTTATACAAATAGGTATAACAGCTGTTTAATTCTGAAAAATGAATCCAAAAACCAATGATTCGTCTTCTTTCATCAGTTACAAGCACGCTCTACAGAAGGCTTTGGTTCGGACGTGGAAATGAAAGTGGGAGAGTGGAAAATAATGAATTCCCTGTGTTGTTTAAAAACATGGACCGACTGACGAAACAAATATGCTACATGAACATAGGTGGCTTTGGTCTATTATTTTGGTCGATATCGAGCAAACAGTCTCGCCTTGAGATGTCTATCCCTCTAACCCCCCCCCCCCCCCCCTATAGTGTCATCGTTTACACAGACTTGGAGTAAGAAACGAGAATGGAGACCTATTTGCTGAAATATGTGCAACGAATGGGCTCATGATAGGAGGGACTGTTTTCCCACATAAACAGATACACAAATCAACATGAGTGTCGCCAGACCAACAAACTGAAAACCAGATTGACCACATATGCGTCAAAAAGAAATTCAGGAGATCAATAAGGGATGTTAGAGTTTACAGGGGTGCAGACGTAGCTTCGGACCATCATCTGCTCATTTCAACAAACCGACTAAAACTAAAGCGAAGACAGGGAATTGTCAATAATCATAGGAACCGGTACAAGGTGGAATTTCTGAGAGAGCCATCGTCAAGAGATGAGTTTAATGTAGCAGTTAAGAACAGTACAGGTTCCAAGTGTTGGAAACACTAGGCAAGGATAGCAGCGTGGAAGAAACACTGGAGGCAATAAAATAAGGCTGGACCACTGTGTGTCAAGAGGTACTGGGGAAACGAAAACGTGAGCACAAGCCTTGGATATCGGCCACCACTCTGAGGAAGATAGAAGACAGAAAAAAGACAAAGGATCAGGTAAACAGGAGCAAGACAAGAGCAGCCAAAGCAAAGGCCCAAGAAGAATACACCAAAGCAATGAAGGAGGTAAAAGTCAGCGTACGGAAAGACAAAAGAAACTATGTAGATGACCTAGCACGCAAGGCAGAGGAAGCAGCAGGGGCAGGAAACATGAGAGGACTGTATGAAACCACCAAGAAACTTGCAGGCAAATACAAGAACGCAGATGTGCCAGTGAAGGATAAAGAGGGAAAGCTTCTCACAAATCCAGACGAACAGAAAGAACGCTGGAAGGAGCATCTCAAAGAGCTACTGAACAGACCAAGGCCAGAAAAACAGTTTGACATTCCACCAGCTGAGATTGATCTGGAGGTGAGTGAAGAAAAGCATAGTTTAGAAGAGATCAAGGAGGCGATAAGACACCAGAAAGCAGGCAAGGCAGCTGGCCCAGATGGAATTCCCCCAGAATCAGAGGTTCTCAAGGTGGATATCGGCACTGCGGCGGGGATTCTTCATGGAATTATAGGCAAGATATGGGACAGCGAAGAATTTCCACAGGATTGGAGAGAGGGATTGCTCGTGAAACTACCCAAGAAAGGAGACCTGCATGAGTGTAAAAACTACTGAGGAATCATGCTCCTGTCCATTCCGGGGAAGAATTTAAGTCGTACCATACTGGAAAGACTGAAGGAAGCCGTGGATGCAAAACTAAGAGAGGAGCAGGCAGGATTTCGTAAAAAGAGATCATGTACAGATCAGATTGCAACTTTGAGGATAATAGTGGAGCAGTCCACAGAGTGGAACTCTTCCCTGTACGTTAACTTTGTTGACTACGAGAAAGCTTTTGACAGCCTAGATATGGACTCAATATGGAAACTCATGTGCCACTACGGAATACCTGACAAGTTCGTGAGATTGATCAAGAAGATGTATGAGGGAATGAATTGCAGTGTCTTACTTGGAGGGCAACGGACAGATTCGTTTGAAGTGAATACAGGAGTGAGACAGGGATGCCTGCTATCGCCTTTTCTCTTTTTATTAGCAGTGGATTGGATAATGAGACAGACAACAACGGGACAACGCGGTGGCATACAGTGGACCCTTTCCAGGCAGTTGGAAAACTTAGACTTTGCCGACGACTTGGCACTTCTTTCTCACAGTCGAGCCCAGATGCAACAGAAAATAGATCACCTCAGGACCTTCTCCCGCAGTGTTGGACTCCATATTCGCACGGATAAAACGAAAGTTCTACGAATGAATGCAGCCGACGTTCTTATCACACTGCAAGGGGCACCATTGGCGGATGTTGAGTCCTTCATCTACCTGGGAAGTGTCATCAACAAGGCAGGGGGAACAGACGAAGGCAAGAGCAGCATTCATCATTCTCAGGAATATATGGATGTCTAAGGAACTGGGATTGAATACCAAGCTGAGGATCTTCAAAACAAACGTGAAGACTGTTCTACTGTATGGTTCAGAGACATGGAGGCTCACAACATCAGCAGCAAGGAAAATGCAGAGCTTCGTAAATGGACGCTTACGAAGGATAGTGGGGATCAAATGGTACGATCGAGTCACTAATGCTCAAGTGTGGGAAAGATCAGTAAAGGAAGACATACAGGTGAAGAAATGGAAATGGATTGGACACACCCCGAGGAGACCCCCGACAAGCATCATCAGGCAGGTTTTAACGTGGAACCCACAAGGAAAACGTAAGAAGGGAAGACCAAAGATGACATGGAGGCGAGCGGTACAAGCGGAAATGGAAAAAGCGGGGACATCACGGAAACAGATAGAAAAGGATGCTCAGGACAGGCTTCGCTGGAGTAATGCTATTGATAGCCTGTGCTCCACTGGGAGTTAAAAAGGGCGAGAGAGAGAGAGAGAGAGAGAGAGA